CTCAGCCTCCTAAGTAGCTGGGATTACAGGCACGCGCCACCATGCCCAGCTAATTTTTGTATTTTTAGTAGAGACGGGGTTTCACCTTGTTGACCAGGATGGTCTCGATCTCTTGACCTTGTGATCCACCGGCCTCGGCCTCCCAAAGTGCTGAGATTATAGGCGTGAACCACCGCGCCCAGTCTGATTTTCCTTTCCTTAAACATTTTTCTCTGAATCCCAAATTATAGATATATACACATATTTACATATATATACATATGTACACACACACATATATATACACACACATTTATTTCAGATAAGTTGGAAAGTAACTATAAAAGGCATTAAAAAACTACCTTGGATTATTGTACTTTACGGTTTCTCGACCCTGGCACCATTGAGGGTTTTTTGTCATTGTTTTTTTTTTGAGATGGAATCTCACTCTGTTGCCCACCCCGGCTGGAGTACCAGTGACATGATCTCGGCTCACTGCAACCTCCACCTCCTGGGTTCAAGTTATTCTCCTGCCTCAGTCTGTGCAGTATCTGGGATTACAGGCGCACACCACCACGCCCAGCTAATTTTTGTATTTTTAGTAAAGACAGGGTTTCGCCATGTTGGCCAGGCTGGTCTTGAACTTCTGACCTCACCGCTTCATACTCCCAGTGTGCTGGGATTACAGGTGTTTGCCACTGCCCCGGCCAACCCTGGCACCGCTGATGTTTGGGCCTAGAGGATCCCCTGTGGTGGGGGGCTAGCCTGTGTGCTGCAGGATGCCTGCAGTAACCCTGGACCCTCCCCACAGCTGCCGTTAGCATCACCGCCTCTAGCTGAATGTCTCCAAACATCGTCATACGCCTGTCCCTTGGGGGCGGAATTGCCCCTTGCTAAGAAGCTAAGAACCAGCCTTTTTTTTTTTTTTTTTTAATGTGTGCCTCTTTCTAGACTAGCAAAAGGATTTTCCACACCATGGTCAGCAGAGATGGGGCCCAGGGTGCTGCTGGGTTGGGGATGAGGCTTTCCCCCGGGTGGGGCGGGGCTGAGAAAGCAGCAGAGAGTCCCAGGCTCAGGCTGATAGGCCGAGGGCTGCTTTCGCGGTGGAGGCTCTCCTCAAGAGCCTCCTCTTTGGAGTCAGAGCAAACCTAGACTGAAACCTTTCCTTCTTGAAAAGATCTTAAGAACCATTTTACCAAATCCCACGGCAGAGCCAGCCTCATAACATTATGATCATTTTAGTCACTTTTGGGCAAAAACATTATTGCCCAACATCTAACCAAACTTGGCCCCAGAACACGGTTAGTGATTTCCAGCAAAAACCTCCCTACAGCGGGGAGGCCGTGTCCCCGGGGAGGCTGCCTGGAGGAACGTGTTACGCGCTTCCAGGGAAGTGCCGTGAGCACATCTGGACCAGTGGCGTGTAACCCGCGTGAATCCAGACCCACGTGGCTCCGTCTCCAGGCGGCATAGTCAAGGCAACTGAAGACAATTGCAGTGTGACTCAAGCTCTTCACTTGCCTTTCCCAAATCCTGTGACTAAGGAGCCAATCTCCATGGTAATTCAGCAGCCATTTTCCTCCCTCCACGCCCCCGAGGACCAGCAGCTCTTCAGCACCCATTCCCCAACCCCACCCATCCACCTACACCTGACCTTCCCCCCGACAAGAACACATCCCCCTTTCCAGGAGGAGGGAGGCAGAAAAAGAGAAATCAGGCCGAACACAGGACGTGGAGGAGGACAGG